CATATATGCTTATACAATGTTTTTATCTTATTTATATAAGCTGAAAATCTCTTAAGTAGATGTTGTGATGCTAGTTGCCAGCTCATGCCAAGGTCTCTGTCTCAGTGGGACACTGACAGACACATACTGGAATCTGTCTGGCTCATTTATGGGTTAATACTGTACCATATTGACAGAATAGCTTGGCTGGCAGGTATTGTAAGCAGAGACAGGCTGAACATCCCCAAACAGCCTACTGTGGTCCCTGCCCCAGGCCAGTGCACTTCTTGCCAGAAGTTTGGGCTGTATGTGTGGCCTGCCCACTGCTCTGGGGCCTGGAGCCCTGAGACTGTAGGTGCAGTAGCCAGTGTAGCTGGACATCCCCCTCCCACAATTTACTCTTTCAGGTGCAGTCAGAACAGTTTCCTGTTATGCCAAGCAGTGGAAACTCCCCCAATAATGTTAGATGCTTGCATAAATCCATATTGCGATATAGAGTCAATTGTATTCATGCTTATGAATATGTAACCTGTCAATGTATGAAGTACATGAGGATGTGTGAATGAGAAACTGCCAATCATAAAGAAGTGAAGCATATATTACCTTTTATGGCTATAAGGAAGAATCCTGCAAATTGTATAAATTGATATAATAGGCAGCCAGGTGTAGCTCTCCTCGGAAAAGATGTAACAGCATGTTATATTCAGGACTGGACCGGAAGCAGTAGAGCCCTCCCATGGAGCCAAAAGGACTCTGGAGACTCTTTTCACCTTGCAGCTGATTTCTGGGTATCTGTAGCCTGGCCAGCCTCATCTGCCTGCAAAATCAAAAGTAATCTATGTTGTGCCCATAGCCTGCCTCCAAACTGCCAGCACGAACGTGATGTATGTGTGAGTATTGCCGTACCATTAAGAATCTGTACTAATAAACAAACCTCAGTGCGGCTCTAGTTCACCCTTTGTCTAGGATTATTCCTTGGCTGGTTCCAAGGGCAGGTAACAGCCAGGAGCTGCCCAGGCGCCCATGGCATTGAAGCTGTGGCACACTAGGGCTGGGACCCTGCCTCCCTGCCCTCAGCCAAGCAGTGGGTGAGCATACTTTGGGCTCCTGCAGGGAGGGGGGCACAAAAGGAGGAGCCTGAGTCACTAGAATACTCTGGTGGAGAACTAGAATAAGTAGTTGATTTAGTGGGACTTCACAGTGTTGTGAAGTGGATACATACCCAAGGAGAAGAACATTTATCTATACCTGATTTATTTGCAATGGGAAAAATAGAAACTTAGGGGTTTTTTTGTAATAAAAGTTCAGAATTTGCAGGGTATTTCAGAGGGTAGCCAAAAATGGGGAGGTACATTAAAAATCACAAATCTCTGGTGTGTGTGTGGGGGGGGGGGGGGGGGGGGGTGACTTTTTCCTATCCCTGATATTAAGGTGGTTTTAAGGGATTTTGCTATGTGCGCTTCAGTGAGAAAAGTATAATCTCCCTCATTCAAATTATCCCAAGTATCTGAGAGTAGTAGCTTCTTTATCTGTCTCTGGGAAGAGAAAACCTATAGCAGGGATGGGAACCTCAGGAGCCGAGGCCGGATGCTGCCCCCAGCTTGCTTGGATCTGGCCCCTAAGGCTCTGCCCCTCTCCCCAGCATTGGGGAACCTGTGCAGGCACTCCAGCTCCCTGCTGCTCCACCATGGGGCAGGACCACACAAAATCTACCAGGCTGGACACCCCTAGGCTCTTGTGTGCAAGAAGAATGTGAGGAATGTCTTTCTCCTTCTCAGTCGGGGGCCACATCAGTGAGGGTGGGTTTTTGTTTTGTATTGGTTTTTTTGCTTCTCACTTGTGTGTGGGCCCGACAGATTCTTCTGTGGGTCAGCGGCCCCCTACCCAAAAAAAGTTCCTCACTCCTGACCTACAGTATGACACGAGGGAAAAGAGAAGCTCTGATTTAGCTCTGCTAAAATATTAGTTCACCTCCACTGAACATTCTCAGAAGTGATTTTTCAATTATTCATATTTTTTACCTTCCTTACTCAAAACTTAGGGAAGATTATGCTCCTTTAGGACATTTCCAAGGTTCATACTTTGGCCATTATTGTTTACCCTGTAAAAAATAAGCAAGGTATTATTTTACTGTGGGTAAAGTGGGTTTTTTTTCTGCTTTCCCAGAACTCAACAATTGCCGAAGGAATTCTATACAAACATTAAAAAATAAATTACCTTCAGGAAGAAAGAAATCATAGCACATTTCAACCCTAAAGGAGAATGTTCCAGAACAAATGTGTCACCGCATTCCTTTTCTTTGAATTTGTTTTGGGAATGCAAAGTTCAGGAGGCAGTTTATTTGTGTCTAATCATTGTAAATGGCATGGTAGCCTTCACAAGAAGAATGAACAGTCAAAAATTGAGGCAAGGATGAGAGGAAGAAGGAAAGATATGAAAGGGTCAGAGAGATTTGGCATTTATTTCTGACACCTTCTGTTCTAGAAAAAAAACAATTAAATTATATCTATTGCTATTCTGCTTCCCTGGATGAACACCAGATGCTAATCATGGAACCCACAAGTGGTTATAGTGGCAGGGCCAATGTCTAAACATACACTTTGTGCTTAATTTCCATACCAGAATCCCTGCTTGTATCAACTCCATCTGCAAGGAAACATAGACGCATTATAAATAAAAATCTATAGAGCAGCTGTGGGCCAACTGACTCATAAAAAAAGGAAAATGTTGAATGAATGCAAGCTGATTTTTTCAATAAATAGAGCCTTTCAATTTTTATTTAGATTTCTATAGGTGAGAATAAAAGGGGGTGAGGGGAGAGTGAGCTTCAGATCCCTGTATGTAATTATGGCAGGTTAGATGTTATATACCCAGAACATAAAAAATGTTATGCAACATATTGTTTTCAACTAATATTAACTTTGAAGTGCAAAACTACTTTAAATTAAAAAAAATATTAAAAAGCTGGTGGATCAAACTCTTGTAGAGAGTAGGATGAAGATTAGTACATATATAACAGAAAGTACAATAGATGGCAGTTGATACTGAGAAGGAAAATAATGAAAATGAATAGTAATTTTGAGCTATGACCAAAAATCAAATATACCACAATGTTTGTTTAGAGTTTGTTTTAAGACAAAATTGTAACACCTATTTTGTGTACATTCAGTGAAATTAAAACCCCCAGAAAAGATATGGTTTTCAGTGGTTTAGGGAAGAATTATTTTTATTGACACTGAAGGGTACAATAAATCCTCTGGAGATATATTACACATCTGTGATGAGTGACTTGTAAAAAAACCCATAACTATCAGAACATGTCGTATAAATTGCTCAGTCTTACAGAATTTTCAAACTACTACCTCAGTGGCTATAATTGTCTAGAATTATTATTTTACTGTTAAAATGGTCTGTTCAAATTTAACCTTCTCCTGATAGTAAAGCTGTATGCTTACAATGGCCATAATTTCAATGATAAAACCATGGGCTATAGAATTCTTCCATGTACCTAGTGCTGTGCATGCTGGATCACCTTAGGTCTGCTTGAATGCAGTTGAGTGGAGGAGGGGAGGAGTGAAAGCATGTCATAGGGAACTAGTTACACTAACATCCACCTCCATGTCCTGTGTTGTCCATTTTTAATGTCTGAAAGGTATTAAAGCCTCCCCACTGATGTCATAGATATCCTTCCAATGACTTCAAGGAAAGGTAATGACAGCCTTTAATTGGTTTTTAATACAAATAAACCATTAAACCATGTGCCACACCTCTTCCTCCTTCTCCCCTCACTTTTTTAATAACTTAAAAACATGAAAAATAATACATTGCCAAACAAAGCCACAAGTTATGTGATTGTTTTTATTTTCAATTTGGCTCTGGCATCTAGACGTACTGATTGACATCAAGTAACTCTCTACCTTTAAAGGTAACTGAACTTGCCACTATTCTCTGAAATTCAGACAAAATCAAAATAAGAGGCAGAGACTGGCAATGCAGGCTTTTATAAGGCCTGGATTATGGTGCTTTGATATATTTGTACAGAAAACAAAATTGTCAGACCTCAATATCCTATTTTTGCCAACGGTATTCCCTCACTTTTATGAACACTATTACTTACCCACAAACAGAATAATAAATTGTGGAGTAAAGCTATTAATAAATAAGTAGAATTTAGAAGTGTGACTATGTTTTATGATAATGATTTGTTTCCTTGTTAACTCATTTAAAAAGTCAACATTTATCAACATTATGAATAGGAGAGATATCGGAGTTATTTCTTTGTTCTCTGAATAGAAAAAAACTATTACCTGAGATAATAACTGCTAGCAAATGTTTACTTTGCATACTGATCACCTAATTTGCTTCTTGGTGATCACTGCTTTGCTGGAATTTTGCATTCTTGTGCTGTGCAATTGTGACCTTATAAAGCTTAACAAAAAGCTGAATTCTCTTTTCTGCCCATTAAAGTAAATTCACTCTATTTTCACTAAATTCAGAAAGGTGGTTTTTAAAAAAATATTTACTTCTTGAACTAGGGGAAACACGTGTCCAGAGCTAAGCCTGATTTTCTTAAAATATAAAATTAATTGGAGCAGTACCTCTTAGAACATAATACTTCTGGATCTACTGTGAAGGTATTTGCATATATCTTAAATACAGATACATGGTCCACTGCAAGTCACATGTACATATGCTACTTCAAATGACAATGACCCCCAAGGATTTGAGGACGTAGGCACATGAGGAAATGGTACTGCAAGATGGTAAAAGAAAAAGTAAGTCAAAGAGAAATATGAGCACAACATGTTCTTCATATTACACATACACTGATATTTCACCTACATAACTCTCAGCCACTGTTAAAGTAATAACACACTACCTCAAGGGGTTAAGGTTTCATTACATTTTTGAGGACTAACAGGTGCACCCCGATAGCTTGCCAAATACTTCATGATGAAATGCACAACTAAACTGTAAATGTATTATTCACCCCCTGGATCACACTGCACCTGGCCAGTGAAATGGCAGTATTGGGATTTATCGAGTTGCCCTTACTTGAACACTATGGACCTCAAATCACCCGGGCAGTGATTCATTACACAACACAAAAATATCCGTATGGCTTTGATGAAAGCATACATGGTACATAAAAATGTGCAAGGGACATAATGTAATACATGAAAATGCCTGTGCCATCTCAAAAGTGAGAGCTATTAAAAGCATCCAAGTAGTTATGTACAGGGATGGATTTAATGACCCTAACATCTCTTAGGCCTTTAGCTGTGTTGGAGCTGTGTAGGCCCCTTACTTTGTAAGATGCCAAGAAGATTTCCTAATCAAAGTCTCTGCCACCTGGACTCCTTCAGTTCATTTGCCAACTGGACCTTTATCTGAAAAATCTACACCTGGTCACACTGAAAATTAATTACATTTCCAGACGTGTATGGCTACATGAAAGGAACAATCCTCCTTTACTGTTTGCTCCATAGTTTGCCTACCACATGGCATTTCTAAATATAGAAAATACAAGTTTATTCTATAAATAGGTGATGAAGACAGAGGAAAGGGTACAACAGTGAAAGCATCTGAGCCAGTCTCAAATAGAAGGAAGTGACAGGAGTTTGATTTGCGCTGGTAGCAAGGGCGGGTTCATATCAACTGCCGTAGTTTGTCACTAGCTGCACCTTTGACCTCTTCTGGTTTCTCTGAGTGCACCCTCAGGTGACAGGCCTCCTGCCTTCACATCTCTCACAAAGGAATCCTGGAATTCTCCCATTCACAGACAAGGAAATGGAGCTCAGCCCCCTCTGGAGTGGTAGTGAATACAGCAGCAATGGGCATCCAATGGCCGCTTGAGTGGCCTTCATCTCAGTGGGTTGCAGCAGCCTGCAGCTCACCGGGGCTCCACCAGTGGCCCATGGACTCCCTGTCTGTCCCCTCCCCTATGCACATCTCGCACACTGGGGCACTGGAGCCCCACACTTCTTTCTTCTCTTCCTCCCTCCCAGTGCTTTTGGAGCACCATGAATCCCCTGATTCACTCTCTGTCCCCTCCCCCCCCCTCCCAGAGCTTGAACAGCCATGAACAGCTGATTCATATCATTCAAGCCCTGGGAGGGAGAAGGAGGAGTTGGGGACAGAGAATAAACCAGTGGATAATGGTACTCTGAAAGTGCTGGGAGGGAGGGGGAGAAGTACTAAGTATGGGGCTCCAGTGCAGGTGAGGTGTATGGGGGAGAGGGGCAGACAGGGGCTCCGTGAGCCATAAGTGGTGCCTCAATGGGTCGTATGTGCCCCTCAGACCGCAGGTGGCCCACCACTGGAATACAATGATCCAAAATAGCCTTCTTAAAACTGAGTATTGTTTGATTGTAACAACAGGAACACAGAATAGTGGTGGAAAAGAATTTTAAAACATGAAAATGATAGAAATGTAGCCATGTTAGTCTGGTGTAGCTGAAACAAAATACAGGACTATGTAGCTCTTTAACCAGAAAGGACACTGTCTCAATGACCTAATCACATGCATCTTACTTCAGAAGACTTTCAAATCTGCACTTGAATGGGAATCCTCTGAACTGGCATTCATGCTAAAATTCGACACTCTCCGCGGGGGGCTGAACGAAGACCCCAACTACCTTACCCATTACAAAGATAACTTCCCCAATTATCACCTCTAATACCATTAACTCACAGACATCTACCCTTCCCCACCTCTAATATCATTAACTCACAGGCATT